ATTAAATAATATAAATGCAACAAATTTTTCATAATACATAATAAAACATTTTTTTTTTTTACTCAGAAAGTATTGATTATTATAGGACACATACACAATAATAGATAAAATCAATATTATAATAGTAAAGTATAATGGAATAAAAGTTATCATAAAATGATATATATATATATAGTTATATAGCATATATATATATTTTATAACATCCATTTCACTTCATTACTTTTGTAATTATATATAATTAATTACTATATATATATAATTAATTACATATGTATATAGTAATTAATTATATATAATTACAAAAGTAATGAAGTGAAATGGATGTTATAAAATATATATATACAGTAAACCCCCATAATACGGTAGATATATTCTGTTTTATATGAATTCATGTTTTATGATCACTTAAATACATGAGCCAATCATAGCCTGGTACATATGCAATTTAGGGACTATGGCTGTTTGAAAGGTTTTCTTCCATAAAATTAATTGATTCTAGACTAATTTGACTCAACATTTCCAAAACATGTATAATTTTTTGAGAAGAATCCATATAGACTATGCTATAAACAAAAAATTGTAGGATTACTTACTGAGTGTGCACCGTTCGACAACGCCATTGATGGTAAAACGTCAGCGATGACGTTTTACCATATTATACAAGTTTCTTTTAGCGTGTTTATACGAATACAATTGCAATTTTTTTGCCATTATATACCTTATTCTACCTCTCATAAGCTCCTTTTTCATTTGATCATTCAATATATTATTAATAATCATACTATTATTGATTATATCTCATAAAATAAATGATTTTGGCATGGATAATAAAAACAAAATACACTGTGAAATAGCAAAAATTTCTTGTTCGTTGCTATATATATATATATAGTCTATTTCATTTAAGTGGGTAATTAATTGGGGCAGATGCTTTATTGGGCCAAATTGCAAAGAATGAAAACCAAACTAATAAATTAATACATAATTTAATTGCTTAATTGGGACAGTAGCAGAAAAGGAATTTAGCAATTTTTGATATATTTTAGGGATCTTCCAAAAATATGTCAACACTATATACACTAATGTCATGTAGGCCTAACGGTTGGCAGAGACAAAGCAATTTTGTCTTTTGGCTCGGGCAGTTCGATTTTTTTGGAGAGGCCAGCATAGCGGGACATATCACACCAGGACTGAAGTGGACCTGAATGCAAGCTACTGACCCTGGTGTGGTTTGGACTAGACGAACCCCTTAAAAGTGAAGGGACAAAGATCTCCTGGACAATTTTTCGAGGTATCTTGACTGAGTTGGAAGACAGCTAGAGTTCCCTTGGAAGGTATTATGTGCATTATTATGTCTAGATTTGGACAGCAGCCATCCAATTGTTGAGACCAGCATCTGGAGCTGGAGGATTCTATGTATGCTCCCACTGAAGTGGTCCATCTCCAAGTAAAGGAAACTCTGCTAAAAGGAAGACTGTAAGGTGACTTTTGGATGAACCCTTTCCTTTCTTTTTAGTTAGAACATGTTCTAACTAACCTTGATTTACTCACTGCCCATAGGGAACAGTAGTACCCACTTTAGGAACTATTGATTTAGGCCATTATTTTTCTTCTGATGTTATGGTTTTTAATCATTTTATACTATTCACATTTTTGACAAAACACTTTTTTTCTAGTTACATAATAAGAGTTATTCAGTGTTTTAGAATTTAGACATATAAAGAAAAATGTTAGAAACAATAATTACCAGCACTCATTATTTCAACAAATTAACCAAACATATATAAATTATATACATTATGTCGTTTTTAACCACTTTTCAAATTAATGTTTAAAATATAAAGTAAATAGGTATGTAATTAGAGTGATACAAGGTATAATATACTGTATCTTCTGCAGAGACTGCAAAATTATATGTAAGACAAGACCAAAATTACAAATTCAATAACAATTTCAAGATGTTTTAAGAGGTTCATCAGATAATGAAATAATGTACTTTAAAATGATATTTGAAAAGTGAAACTCAGAAAGTAATACAATGATAACTATTCTTTCATGGAACAAGAAACCAGTTAAGTAATGTGACTATTTAACTAGAGGCAAAATATTCTGTATGGTTGCAACATCAGAGCCATATAGCCATAGATGCATTACTTACCATATGTATAAAATTCAGTTATCTATGGAGTTATGTATTAAAATTATTTTTGTCGTTCTTAATAATGAAAATAAATGCACATTTTTAACTCAAATTTTAAATTATCAGCCTCTTCCTTTTTTTTATATACTTTCTCCTATTCAGAGCTTATTTAATGCAGTATAGGAAATTCCATGGTTTTTTGGGAGAGTTGTTTTTGTAAGTTTAATTTTTCACAGAGAATAATCAAATTTATTTTTTATTTCAAAGATCAAATGTAAATTTTCATTTCAAAGACATCTTTTTGCTAAAAACTATAACTTTGGCATAAATTTGCCATATTTTAGGTAGAAAATATTAACACAATAAAATAACCAGATACAGTGACAGTGGTACAGTACCTCATATTTAAACAACTAACCTTGAATGTTCCAGAGTTTCAATGCTAAGTTCAATAAAAATTTGATCCCAAGTTCAAATAATACTTCTAAGGTTGAACTTCATGTGCAGTGAAAAATGCATTCACTGCATAAATGCTCCATTGTATGTCCATGTCATCTCTTATTCTCATTGTGAAATCATATCCTGAATTATCTGATGTGTTTTCAGTGCTTTTTTTCACTTTATTCTTGGTGTGTTTGGTTATATATATATATATTTCATGTTGACAAAGTCAGTGGTCAGATAAGCACTATATTTCACAGAGTGCATTAGTAATGACTTTTATTTCAGATGCACACACATCAACACGGATCTCATAGATTGCAATATGCTGTTTTTTATTATGTACCGAAGTATTTAAAAATAAAAAAAATGAAGGCAATATTGGGTATGTTGTTTTGATTGTAACTGGTCTTCCTTTTTCTTATTTCTGTCTTTATAAAGTTCAAATAAAGTTTTGCATAATTCTGGCTCCTTGCTAATTTGTATGATCATTTTACTTATATCAATATGCATTTTTTAAAATACACAGGTACTGTACACCCTTCAGCAGAAATAACACTGACCTGGCATTTCCTTGAAACGATGTTATCATGTTCGTCAAATTTTGCATGTGTGACGACTATAGATTTTGAGTGTATCTCATAGTGTGCAATGGTCATACTCCATCAGGAGATTATCGTGGATGATCCAGTGGGCCAATCATACAGCACAGTGTCACTTTTTGCATCCGTGGACATCTGACTGCTCCCTTATGTTTTTGCAATCTTGTGACATCCATAAAAAATGATGGATATCAAATTGTGCTTGTTTGACATTAGCCTCAGGTGTAAGTTTTGTGTCTTTTACTTTAAAATTTCCTGAGCATTTAACCACATTTGACATTTCAAACTTTAGGAGCATCTTCCCTATACACATTATGAATTTATATTTTTTACTATTTGTATGGCATTGTATTCTTTCCAAAACTCAAAAAATAATATGACTGATATACTTTTTATCCAAAGATATTTTGACTTGATTTTATTCAAACAAAATGTGAAGTAAAAAGTTTAAAATGAGCTTTTAAACCAAGAATACAATCTCATATTAGAAATAATGTGTTAAATTTTAGAACTGTTATAATTAAATCACACATCTATGTTAAGTAACAGCAGCTTTTAAAAATATGCAAAAACTTTGTTTAACCCAATATAATCTTTACTTATTAATCATGGCATTCAAGAAGTGCATGGAAGGAATGAAGCCTAAAAGGAAGGTGTAATCAATGTAATAAATGATTGAGGTGGAAACAAAACTTATCACAAAGCATGAAAGTAGTATATATGTGGCAGATCTGGCAGCCATCTTTAAGATGCCAAAGTCAAAGGTGTGTAACCAATAAATGAAATTTTCATTTTATTATATGGTATTTACATATTTTATATATTGTTTTCATGTTTTCAATTATTATTTAAGGCAATTCATTGTGGTTTTTTTTAACTTTAAATTATGTGTATTTGTTGTTTAAATTTATCAAAATGGGTATTGTTAGGGTCTGGAAATGAATAAATTTCCTTTCCATTAGAAGTAAAAGAAAAATTATGATGTCAAAATGGCTTTTCTTAATTGCAATTTAAATTACAGAGAAAAGTAGAAACTTTATTTAAAAAAAAACACATCTAAAGAAAAACAGACAAAAAACCTACAATTTAAAACTAAAAAATAAAAAAACTTCAAATTTAGATATTTGCTATCTATGCGTCCATTCAATACAACTGACAATAGTTTCTGGAAAAGAAATGTAGAAAGAATATGAACAAAATCTAAAACTTTTCATTATTAATGTCTTGTAATAAACAACTTTTTAAAGATCCATTTTCAGACACATAGTCATCACAAAGTCATTCAAGGTGCATTGAAGAATAAACAGAAGAGACCAAGTTTCTATGAAAAGCCATGGAATCCACATGTCAGACAGCTGAGATAGTAAAGGCACATGCCTGCTATTCTGAAAGACAATATTCAATTCTGAATCTATTCAAATTTTCACAGATAAGTTCACCCAAATATGTTGGACCTTCTCCCCACCACTTAATTGGCTTCACTGTAAGCCTCACTGAACCAATAATGGAAATGGAAAAAGTCCTTTTAGTGCTGAAGGATGAAAATAAAAACTGAAATATTTGGTACTCGGCTTTTGTAAACAATGGTATTACCTCATTTTTGAAAAAAATGATATAGATAAGATAAAGCTTTTCATAAAAAATAAATTATATAGCAATTCATAAACTCAAAATATAAAAGCACTGAAATTATGTTCTTAAGTTTTGAGCTTCATTAAGACTTCATATGTAATATAATTAAAACTAGTTTATTTGTAACACTCAAAGTAAATTTCCACAATATAAACTGTAATTTAAAATTAAATTTTACTTACACGCATTCTTGTCATGTTATATTGAATTGTTCGAATCACTACCAGTACCAAGAGTCCTCCTAATGAAATTTCTGATATTGTTCTTTCAGTATACCAGTTAATATTTTTTAATATCTAATTAAAATTAAATGAAAGTTTATTAATTAAGTTTCTTTCATTTTAAATAAAAAATTGGTTCTGATAAAAGTCTGCAGATTTCATATTCATAATTAATTTTAATGATTAATGTTAAAAATTATTTTTTCAACATTAAATTTTTACTGATTATTTAAGGTTTAATGAATAATTATTAATACAAAATTTTATGTTAATTTCTAGAATATAAAACATTCATTCTGCAGTGTTGCAAAAAACATATTCAGAATTTATATGATTAAGTTAATGAAAATTTTTAAATTAATCTGAAAACTGATTTGGTTAAAGCTGATGTGATTAATTTAAATGAATAGAATTATTACTGTCCCAAATATTACTCAAGATATAAATATCTTAAAATATCGATCTTTTTCATGTAATTCATTTAGTTATTTAATATATCAAATTGCATCTCAATTTAAATAATATTTCAATACAAACTAAAATAAAAGCTTTTATTGAACAATTTCAAAATAGTATAATAAATCAATTAATTAAGAATTTAAAAATTTGTAAAAATTAATGAAATTGATGTAATTAACTAAATTAAATAGATTGGATTAGATTTTTTGAGATTGGTTATCAATAAGGTTATTATTTTTTAATTTAACTCTTTAATTGTTTCAACTGGAATCACTGTGCACATCTATTAAAAGATTTCATTTTTTTTTTTTTGCAATATTTTAATATTGTAAAAAAAAATCCCAAGATGTACTAACAAGTACTAACAAGTAAGAAAAACAAGTACTAACTTAAAAGAATTTCATATAAGGTTTTTAAATGTTATTTGTTTCAAAATTTTTTGGATACCATATAATTTTTCAATTTAAATTCTTATAATCATTATCAATATTAATGTCACATTCTATGCCAACTTCTAATTATTTTTGAAATTTGATTTTTGTTCATTTTGAATTACCGTGGGTGATCAGTTAACGAACATAATCCATTCCAAGACTTTGTTCACTATCCGAATTGTTCATTAACCGATTATCGATTTACCATAGGTTTCTATGGGAATTTGATTAATTCGTTCTGGAGACCCCCCAAAAAATAAAAAAATATATACTTTCTTACTACATTTATTCACATGTAATAATAAAAATCCATATATACATGGTCTTGCATTTTTATTACTCGTGTTTTTTTTCCATTTGTGGGGGTTAAAGAATCTGTCCAATGTCAATTGCTTTTCTGTCTTCTTCATGATTTTTCAGAAGTAATTAATAGCATTGTAATTGTAGAGATCTATAGGCCTATTAACCTCGACCTGGTTTGAATGCCATTTTAAGACCATTGTTCTGACATCCTCCCACTTCTTCAAAAGATCTTTAATAGCAGATATCAACATAAATCCACATTTTCAGAAGAAAACGCAAAAGAATTGTTTATGTCAGAAATATAAAAGGCTGAAATTACAAGGGAGAGTTTCAAAGTTTGGGGGAATACTATCCGATCAGTATATACATGGGTAGAACGTCATTGTCGACGTCTCCCGTACTCCGAAAAGTTTCGAATTGTTGCCTGAGACAAAGGAAGACCAATTGGTATTCATTATTTACGTCACTTCCTCTTGTGTTTGTTCAGTGACATGTTCGTTGTCCGATCATAAAAGTCTTTCGCGAAAGTGTTCATTATCCAATTTGTTTGTTAACCGATCACCCACTGTATTTTTCTAATATCAAATTAAAATTATATCAAGCAGACAGTTTTTTCATAAACACATATTAAAACTTTAACAGTATATAAGTTAAATACACTTAATGCCATTTTCAGGAAAAAGAAGAAAATTTCTTCTAACAATAAAGTTCAACAAGAAAAACAAAAATCTGATAAAAGAACTTTTTATAATCAAAAATAAAATTTTTTTTGCTTTCATATGCAGTGTTAGAAATAATGTCTTATTATTTTAATTATCAAATATTCATGACTAATTAGAGTTAAACTAGTTAATTTTGTGACAATACCAAGTGATAATTATCAAGAATAATTAAATGAATGTTTATTATAATATAATAAAATTTAACAGAAAATTATTACATAAAAATACTTACAATATCATGAATAGATTCATTAAATAAATCATCTTCACTAAGAATCAGTAATACTATCAATGCCATATAAATATTATGAGAACTTCTTTCTGGAGCATTATATAATATTTTTAATATTGGTATAACCTTAAGCGAAAAAATTTCATTTAAAAAAATTATTTTCATATTAGAATAACACATACTGTACATTAAAACTAAACTTTCTAATTATATTTTTCTTTATCATTTGATAAAACTTAACACAGTATAATGCACTTCACAGTACACTTTAGTTAATTTTAAGTTAGGCTATAGAACCAGAAATAATTGATTTTCTTAAATGTAAGAGAATCAAAACTCAAAAATTATTATAAAATTATACCTTGAATATTGACCATTAACAAAATTCACTAAATAAAGTTACCCATGGTAAAAGATATTTTTTACCACAAGTCATATACAAATTTTGCCAGATGGTGCACAGCAAAATTCAAAGATTGATAAAATTGGATAAGCTAGGATTACATCACTGTAACAGTAAAAATTTTTAAAGTTTATATTTCAGATTCAGAATAGGGAAAATTATTAGGAGACAACACAAGTCCTCACACAAAATGCTGAGATAAAAGAAATTTTATAGTTCAATAAGGTTCACATAGTTTTACATAGTTTAAGTAAAAATCTATTTTTTTATTCCCATTTCTTCTCCTGTTACTTTTGATAGATTTTTAATCACTATTAAGGTTATGTAAAAAAATAAACGAGTTACCAAATGCTAATGACACATTTTTCATTGTTGGAATATATGCACTTCTATTCCAATTGTATTTGAATTCAAATTTTTCTTAGAATAATCCATTAAATTTTTGAAAACCATTTTGTATAATCCAGAGTTTCAGATAATGAAGTTTCTATTGTATAATATAGTTTTAACTTTAAAAATTGGAAAGTCAACTACTATTTCTCCATTTTTGAAATAAGAAAATTGCTCTCCATTGTTATAAATGGAACTGTGGAGTCAGAGTTAGAGTCAGTAAAAGAAGACTGATTCCAAATCTTAACAGATTATGATTCTAACAAGTAGTCTAATAATTCACATTGACAATGATGCAATGCCTTGAATCTTGCATTCAATTGATGCAAAAAATAAATAATTAGTATATTTATTATTTATATCCTATATTGATATATAAATGAATGAGTCAGAGTCAAAAGGACGATAAACAAAGGATTTGAAGTTGGAGTCAAAGCATATGTACTGCCTATACTGCCCTGGATATAGTTTCCAAATCCAACATGTTTTACACAACTAAATCAAAATACAATAGCTTCAATTAATATGTAAATTATAGAATTTAATAACTATCTTCGAAGAGGAAATGTACTTACTAAAGCATCCACATCAGTCCTGGATAAAATGAAATTTTTAAATTGTATATTGCGATGTAGTAACAAATATAATAAAAGGGTGGTTTGATCATCACTTAATGTTGATGAAAGTGTTGAATAAAGCTTAGTATAATCTAGCTTGAAAGTTGGAATTGCAACTGAAAGACTTGTATTTGATGAATCTGAAATTTAAAATCAAATATAAAATACTTATACTATTCAGAAGTTTTCTCAATACAATTCAATATAACATTATAAAATTTATACCAGATTATTTGAACTACATTTCACTTGGGAATAATAGTTAATAATTTTTTTTTATAAGTTGAATAAATTATTATTATTATTTTTTTTTGAGTTATACTCGGTTCACACCGGTGGCTGTGTACTATGCCGGACCAGAGTCAAGGCATAGCAACCAAAACAAAACTAAAATTAAATAAGTGTGTCAGTGTCTGAATTCAGGAATTTCCTAACAATGTGGCATGTATTCAATATAGTGGCCTTCTGTGGTGTGATGTATGTATTTCTACTCAATTCTAATGTTCCCAGGCTTTTGTGTAGTGTGTGTGGTATCACACCTGTACAGGAAAGAACAACAGGTACAATAAGCACCCTGTCCATCCTCCACAGATGCCTTATTTCCTGGGCGAGTTCTGTGTACTTGCTAATTTTTTCAGTGCATGTGTTTTGTACATTGTGAGTGTTTGGAATGGCTATGTCTATAATGTATGTGATTTTATTGTGTTTGTCAATGAGTGTGATGTCTGGTCTGTTGTGGTAAATTGTTTTATCTGTGATTATGGCTCTGTCGTAATACATTTTGTGCGTGTTATTTTCCAATACTGTCTGTGGAATATACTTGTAGTATGGTTCGTGGATGTCTGCCAATTTGTGTTTCTTTGCAAGCTCTTGGTGTATTATATTTGCTACTTGATTGTGTCTATGTAAGTAATCTGTCTGTGCCAAGAGCTTGCAACCAGAAGTGATGTGTTGTATAGTTTCTGGCATGATGTGACATTTTCTGCATGTGTCATTTGTGAGTGTTGTATCTTTGAGTATGTGTTTTCTGTAGTTTTTAGTATTTATGACCTGATCCTGTATGGCAATCATGAATCCTTCCGTCTCCCCAAAGAGGCATCCCCGATCTAACCAGCTGTTTGACGCAGTTTTGTCAACAAAATCCTGGGCCAGGTCGTAAGGATGCCTGCCATGGAGAGCCTTTTGAGCCCATGATTGCTTAATGTTGTCTATGCTTTTTATATGTTGTGTCATGTCTGTATGTTGTGAGTGTAAGTTTAATGGTGTGTTATTTGAGTCTGCTAGAGTTACTGCTTTATGTAACTGTGATGTTTCTTGTTTCTTGTAGAAAAACTCTCGCAGTGACTGTATTTGTTTGTAGTGAAGGTTAACTATGTCAATCAGGCCACGTCCGCCTTCTTTACGTGGAAGGGTTAATCTTTCTGTGGCGGATTTAGGATGATGTTGTTTATGCTTAGTAAGTGTTGTTCTTGTTTTCCTTTGGAGTTGCTCGAGATCTGTGTGAGTCCAATGTATAACTCCAAAAGAGTATGTGAGTACTGGGATGACATATGTGTTTATTGCTTTAACTGTGTGTTTTGCATTTAACTGTGTTCTAAGTATAGCGTTTAACCTACTTTGGTATTCTTTAATTAATCGTTGCTTTATTTGTGTATGTTCTGTTAGTTTGGCCTGTTGGAATCCTAAGTACTTGTAGAACTCGCCCTCTTCCATGGATTCAATAACGTCTCCATTTCCAAGTGCAAAATCTTCTTTCTTCAGGATTCCTTTTTCTATGTGAAGTGTTTTGCATTTGTCTAAGCCAAACTCCATTTGTATGTCCTTAGTGTATGAATGTGTGATTTGTAGGAGTTGATGAAGTTGTTTTTGTGTGGATGCATAAAGTTTTATGTCGTCCATGTACATGAGATGTGAGAGTGTAAACTGTGTTGTTTTTTCGTGTCTGATATTGTAGCCGTATTGCGTGTTGTTTAACATGTTGGATAATGGATTCAGGGCTAGGCAGAACCAGAGAGGACTCAAGGAATCTCCTTGAAAAATTCCTCGCCTAATGAATATTTCGTTTGTTTGTATGGAAGTGTTACTAACCCTGAGATGTAGTGTTGTTCTCCAGTGCTGCATAGTGTTTTCGAAGAATGCAATGAGTGATGGATGTATTTTGTACATGTGTAGAATATGTAGCAGCCAACTGTGTGGAACACTGTCGAATGCTTTTCTGTAGTCTATATATGCCATGTGTATGTTTCTGTGTTGTTTGTGTGCTTGCCGTAGAATGACTGAATCTATGAGTAACTGTTCTTTGCATCCCCTGTGATTTCTACGGCAACCTTTTTGTTGTTCTGTAAGAATGTCGTGTTCTTCAACATGTTTGTATATTTTGTTTGTGATACAGGATGTCAATAATTTGTAGAGTGTTGGAAGACATGTAATTGGTCTGTATTGTGTGGGGTCTGTGGTTTTGTTGTTTTTAGGTTTCATGTAGGTGATGCCCTGAGTAAGAAATTTTGGCATGTCTTGTGGATTGATGATGATGTGTGTTAGATGTTTAGCTAGTTCCTGGTGCAGTGATGTAAACTTTTTGTACCAGAAATTGTGAATGTTGTCTACACCAGGTGTCTTCCAGTTGTGTGTTCTGTTAACAGCGTAGCGAATGTCGTGTACGTTTATTTCAGCACAGGGCATAGTTGGTATGTTGTGCAAGTTTCTGTTCTCCTCCTCGATCCAGCCTGCATCAGCATTGTGTGTAACAGCATTGGACCAAAGAGAAGACCAATAAGTTGTGAGTTCTTCTTCTGTTGGTGTGCCACTGTGCTGTGTATCAGTGTTTGTTTTGGTACTGATTTGTCTGTAGAAAAGTTTTTCATTGTTTGTGAATAATTTATTTTGTTGTTTTCGTAGTGTACATGTTTTGTATCGTTTGAGTCTACGTGCTTTGGCTGCGAGTTTTTGTTTTAGTGTATCGATGTATTCTGTAATGTGTGTGTTGTGATGTTCGTGTTTTGTGTGTGTTTTGATTTTCTTGAAAATGTTTTTGAGTTGTTTCTTTAATTTGGGTGTTATGTTGTTTTTAGTGTATTGTGTCAGCCTGCCTAATTGCTGTCTAATGTCATTTATTTGTGTTTCTATTCTTCTCTGCCAGGCAGGCTTGTGATAGGATTGTGTTTTGTGTCTGTCTGTCTGTGAGTGTATTTTCAGTCCATGGTGTATTACTACTGTGACTGCCCCGGCATAAACTAATGTATGAATGTCTGTAAGTGTAGAAATTGAATTAATGTAGTTTGGTAGTAAGTGAGTGTTTACATAATTTAGTGTTTACATAATTTAGTGTTTTCCTACTACCTTTGACGTGTTGATTTTCTGTATTCGTGGTCTTTGTGTGGGATCTGTGCCTGTATATTTAGTGAGTGTTTCCTGCAATATAAGTGAGAGAGTATTAACTAATTCTATGTCTATGTTATCAGTGATCGATGAGGAAGTGCCTGTAGTATCATTGGTTGTAGTTGTTGTATGTGTGCTATTATCAATGCTTGTTGCTGGATTATCCTGACAGGTTAAGTGATCTTCATTAATAATGTTAAATGTTTCTGTCTGTTGATGTATTTGATCAGCAATCTGTTGTTTGATAAGTTCAAGTGTTGTTTGTGGAATAAGGTTGTTGTGTATAATTGTTCTCTTTTGATCAACAACCCTTTGTTCGGTGACAGTGAGATGAGGATATTGTTGTGTAAATCTATGGTGTAGTTGTTGTCTGTATGCTGTCATGTTTGTTTCGAGTTTTGTGATTGCATAGTAAGTGTGGTTGATAAACTCATTCATTTCTGTTGTCCATTTCATCCGTTGGCGTGGTTTTCCAGCCTTTGTGGTATGTGGATGCATTGCCACAGAAACACCAAGGCTAGGTTGATTCCTCACATCTGTTGAGGGCATTGCAGTAGCCATACTTGGGCCAGTGCTGCTTTCGCCACTGGTAACCAAGGGAGACTGGAGCCTATTTTTCGAACGTGAGCCTCTGCCTAACCCACGAATGCAGACCTTGTTAACCCGGGCGACGTCCGAGCCGGTATCATACTTAGATCTGGTTACTACCATGATAATTAATTATCTACACATAATGTGGGTGTGTGGTCACTCTTAGCTTCATTTCTCCCCATAGACCTTACTGGCATGGGTGTCCCTACTAGGAGCTTGCGCTCCAGCCTGCATTGCCCTATGGTTCAGTAAAATTACTGGGCTCTCCCACCACGACCAGGTGGTGACTACGGGAGAGTTATTATTATTGTTGTGTTTAGTGGGTTATACTCGGTACACACCGGTGGCTGTGTACTATGCCGGACCAGAGTCAAGGCATAGCAACCAAAACAAAACTAAAATTAAATGTGTGTGTCAGTGTC